TAGATACACATACCGAATTCGCTGCTGGCCTACGGTGTTGCAGTAGCCCGTTCGACGGACCTTAGGATCAACCTGCGGCAATCTCACGTCGGATCGGCCTGTTTCCGCGATCTTCGACCTAGAAAAACTGGAAAAAACGCAATGGCGCGTTGTAGATCTTTCGGGATATCTGAAAAACTGTTTGTCGTCACTGTCGGTATTCCAATAATTTGCACCCGTTATCGGGGACTCATCCTATTCTATTAGCGATTTTAATGGCGGTTATCGCAAGGCTTATCGCTAATTGTCGAAGTCCCCGCAATTGCATATCTAATCGAAACCATCGCGCTTATCGGGAAGAGGAGAAACAAAAGAACCGATTAATTGCGAGCGTATAAAAGTGCGTAGGCGAGAGAAACGGGAGGTCAGGAATCCGAGAATCGTGATTACGCAAGCAACGTTCGCACGCGCATTTTTTCGAAATGTTAAAATTCGAACATCGCGAAATTTTCAAGCTTGAATCCGATCCGCGTTTTTCGCAACCGGAAATCCGAGAACACGCGCCGCGGCGCTCGGAACTCTCGCGGTGTAAAATCGATAGTTGTACTATAAGTCTAATCGTTTGCCGACGCCGGCCGCGTAATTCGTGACCAACGAGCACGTTTCTACGTCAGACAAAAGCAATCAATACCTAATCGTAACTAACAGTTTGTGTGCTTGCACACAATGAGTTATGAGTCGTCTATAAAAATAGCCGCAGGTTTATCTCTGGCGCATGTTTCTACCTGTTGAAGTTATTTGGTACGACGTTTGAACGTCGAACATTAGGCAATCTATGTATACATAGCAACTGGTATGTGGTATAAGACAGAATATACTGATATTTTCCTACTGAAACAAATTTTTATCGGATAAACCTATTAAATAATGTTTCCGATGGTTAATATTTCCGATTACGTTTTCCGATTGAATTATGGATGCATCCGATGAAATTTATCCGATGAAACGCAGTTACCGATGAAATTTGATTGAAAAACCGATCATATTTTTCATCGGGTGCACAATTTAATTGGATATATCCGTTTGTTATTATGTAATTGGATTATCCGATTATATTTAATTGGACATTTTTCTCAGTGCGGTCATCGGAATTTTTTAAATACCTACACTGAGAAAAATACCCGATTAAATTGTACATACGATGAAAAATATGAGCGATTTTTCGATCAAGTTTCAACTGCATTTTATCGGATACATTTGATCGGATATACATATATGTATACATATAATAATTTAATCGGTAAAGTTCGCGGAAACACTATTTAATTGATTTATCCGATGAAAATTTTTCTCAGTGTAATAATAATTTTTATAAATTATACAAATTTCACCCCTGTGTTTAACAAATTTTTTCTGTATTTGTGCGCGTAAGATTGTGAAAATTTACCCTAAAAATCATGTAATTATGGGATAACATATGACATTTTGAAGAACTTTATGAAAGTTTTCTGAAATTTGACTATACATTTTACTATTAATTATACTTAGTATACATTTTACTAATAAAATGTATGGTGACATTTTGAAAAACTCTCATAAAGTTCTTCGAAACGCCCGCGCCGCGTATACGCGCCGTCTGCTGCTTCTGTTTCAGAATTAAGATCGCGAGTCGATATAATCGTCAATATCTCCGCACAGAAAAATTGTAGCGAGATGATCCTGGTCTCGTTGGAAAACTAAAATTTCAGCGCTTCTAACGAGATAAGAATGGTTTATCTCGGATCATTAGTTTACGAGATTTCATTAATTAATTACAAAAACAAAATTGATTTTGTCCCGAGATCAAGATCGCGAGTCGATAATCGTCATTATCTCCGCACAGAAAAATCGTAGCGAGATGATCCTGGTCTCGTTGGAAAGCTAAGATTTCAGCGCTTCTCGAGATCAATGTACATTTATGTACAACAGCACCAGTTGAAATCGGAGTATAATGCTCTTGCAACACGTATGGGACTCAGTATCACGGATACGTATCATTGGCTGCGGCGTTTTAAAGAGACGTGGCATTATTATTCTTTCGAGCAAGGAGAAACCTTGTAGTAAACCTTCAGAGCCAGGAACGAAAAACAGTACCGAAGACGAAGTTATTCCAGAATTAGAAATAGGCGAGTCAGTGGATATCAGTGCTAGGTGCCGGATTAGTAATATGGAGAACCGGGTTCGATCCTACCCAGTACCAAAAATTCTGGGGGGGTTTTTTTCTCGGGGATCCGAATATTCCGAATGCAGATTCGGAAGAAGGTAGACGGTGTCTACAGGGTGCGCATGCCCCGGGAATTTTCGGGGATGCCACCAAGTCTCCCCCGCCCCAAAGGGTGACTCGCCCCTCCACCTTCTCTGACAGAATGAGAACGGTGGGGAAAGCGGAGACGTCGGCACATAAATGGCATATAAAATATAATAACTTTGCAATCCTTACAGTTTAAAATGGCACCAAACAATGAGAAGGTGAAGAGAAAATACGTACTCCTGAATGTTGGCAGAAATTAGAACTAATCGAGAAGTTGGAACAAGGCTTTTCAGTGACGGATGTTTGTAATATTTATGGCGTACACGAACGAACAGTGTTCAATATCGAGAAATCAAAATCTAAATTACAAGAATTTATTTCAACACATAATATTAATACCTCTGAATTACCTGCTTCTACAATATTGAACTACAATATTGAATTCAACGAAATAAATTCTTGTAATTTAGTTTTGATTTTCTAATATTGAACACTGTTCGTTCGTGTACGCCATAAATATAAACATTCGTCACTGAAAAGCCTTGTTCCAATTTCTCGATTAGTTCTAATTTCTGTGGCACATTCAGGAGTACGTCTTTTTTCTTCACCTTCTCATTGTTTGGTGCCATTTTTAACTGTAAGGATTGCAAAGTTTATTATTTTATAATAAAAATTATTTAGGAAAGGTCTCTTGTTCGTAAGAAAATTTTTTTTTAAATTTTCTTTAAGAGAATCCCGTAGTAGGTCTGTATTACCGACAGAATTACCATTTTCGTAATATACATGAGCACACGGACACACTACTACGATACATCACACCCATACATAAACACGAAAGTTTAATATACAGAGCTTTATCCAAATTTGCGTTCGTCCAATGTATTTTATTTCTTGTTGTAGAAGCATTTAATTTAGGACTCGTGTGACGCGTCGAAGTACTTGCCGATGAAAATGATGATGAATTCTCAACATTTATTTCGTCTGGAATAACTTCGTTTTCGGTATTGTTTGTCTTTTTTGGCTCTGAGGGTTTATTACAAAGTTCCTTCTCGCTCGAAAGAGTAGTAATGCCATGACTATTTTTAAAACGCTGCCGTGTTGTCCCACGATTACATGATTTTCAGGATAAATTTTAAGATAACATTCTCTCCGTTTATGATCTTTAAATTTCAATGTTCAAGCAGCAAATATACACACAACTATTATTATTTAAAAAAATGTAGATATCAACTTGAATAATATCTTAAGAAAGTTGCGTATGCGTGTCACACGTCAATTACCTCCTGCTTTATTCGATCCGGTTCTTTAACGTATTTTTCAATAAAGAAGGAAAAACTGGAGTCTTTAGCGCAGCGTTCAATCTATCTAAGCGCATCTAGCAAGCTGAAGTAGGTGAAGCAGTTTTCCTTTAAGAAGCATCGTTGAACTTTCTTAATAATTTGTCTCCAGTATAATTGATAACGATAATCGTGAGCGATAATGGTCGAGTCATTGCTCCGACCGAGCGGCGCGACGGGCTCGGTGCTCCTGACACTTTGTGTAACGCAATATGCAGAATCAGCGGGAGCGTCGCGACTTGATCTGATCGCACGTTTGGGGTGATAGAGGTAACCGAAGCTATCTCTCGCGTCGCGACTTAATCTGATCGCACGTGTCGCGGGAACTAAATTACGCGTACGTGAGCGGAAAAGGGACGCGTGCGCCTTTTGCTACGTCTGCCCACAAAGATTCTACAATTTTTAATCCGCAAAAATTGACGAGAAGTTTAATTTAGATCGAGCAAAGAACAATTGGCGGCGGTTCATGAAATTTTCGGACAACTGTCAATCAACGATTGACAGAACGATAAACTGTAAATAAAATATAATCATTGACAGAATAGGTAACGAAAAATACGATACTTCATATACTATTAATCTAGAAAACTACTTATAATTTTCTATTATACATCTGTCAAACTTAATGAACGAAATAAATAAATGATGGCTTAATTTTGGTAGCATTAATTATTGTATTTGCTAACTGTAATTTGACAAAATAAGTAATCGATGGTCGCTAAATTGAGATTGATAGATTGTTACTTCTAATTTATTTGGACATGTGTATATCCCTATAATCGTAACTTTATACGCAATATGTAATTATAACTTTCTTTTTTACAACTGTTATATGAATCAAATCCGATGCTAATATAATTATCAGCAGTGATCTAATTTTGCTCTCGACCTGGCATTTCGATTGAACGTCTGTTACTCCACAAATGATTATCGTGTCAAATAAAGAATTACCTTTCATGATATGATGCTATATTATAATTTTATCCGATATAATTCTCTCGTAAGAGAGCAAACAGGTATTCGTAAACAGATAAATAATACCCTTCTACTTTAGACTTTGTTCAAGATAATTTACGCATTGAAAATTGCGGTATCGTGCGAGATAATCGTTTCATACGCATTCTTCGTGTAGGTTATTCCTTTATTTGTAATTTGCGGGAAATTTTTTTCTCCACTTTGTCCCTTCATCAAGTCATTAATATTAATTACCACATAAGGCACACTGTTGCGAAAGAGGAAGTACAGCTGCAACGTACATTTTGAAAGGCACTAAATACTAATTTGCAAATTGGACTTCATTTATCTTCACTGACTATTGAAAATTGTCGCAACTAATCACTGGTGATTTAATTTTTGTGTCCACTCGTACATCTAAAAAAAAATGTTTACGCGTAGAATCTACGGTGCTTCACGATTTACGCTATTTCGCACGTGTCTTATATTCATTTCAAATTTATCGAAATTTGATATTTTTTTAATACTTCAGGTGAAGAATCACGGGCACGTTCGCGGACGTCAAGTTTACTTGCACCATCCAGAGTTTGAAGCACGAAAATCTTTCGATTTCACTTATCAATAATCAACCATTTATCTGGCCGTCGGTACTTCGTGGTAATTCAAACAACAAAGCTCTCAGGTTTTATAACAATTGCTGATAATAAAAAAAAAGAAAGATTATCCAGATACGAAGACTCGTTACTTACGTAGTAAGCTCACATCGAATCTGCGCCAGCGTGTCGAAGTTCACTGATGTAGCCCTCGTTTCTAGAGAATCCGTCGATGTTGAGGACGATACCAGCAGCCCTGGTACCGATTCGCAAGCGAATATCCTGATGCCCCGCAACTCTACGCGCGTTCTTCCGCGAGACTCACGTGAAGCCGCTTGCGACAAGTTGGAGCACTCCGTTAGGATTTCCAGCGTTGTTAAGTATCGCGCACTAAGGACAAGAAAGACCCCGGTTCCCCCGCGTTAGATTTTTCGGAGCGCAAAGAGTCTTGTCTGCGTATCGCGCGAGGTTCGGCTTGACTGATAAAAGGAAGCCGCAGCTCGATTGTCAGTGCTCCTACTTGTACTCGTCGCGCTCGTGCGTCTACCTCGTCGTGTCGTATGCACGTGCGCTATCTCGTCGGCGGTAGGTGGGAGCCCGATCTTAAGACGAATCGCGTGCGCTTAAAGATTGATTCGTTGCTTCGAATTCATCCAACTTCCCCACCTTATTTTCAATGTGGAGGATCGCCGATCGATTCCAGGATTTTAGGGGAGCAGGGTGTAATTAGGAATTATGGGATTTACGTCGGGATGTATTTACGCAATTCTATTGCGTGAATCCGGATTTTCTCTTCTGGGAAGAAAGATAAATCTAATGGATGTTTAGAGCGTTGCTTGCTGAATGAGTTTTGTGTACTTTATCGCATATGCCACAGAATTTTCTACACAGAATATCTACTCTCCATTTATGCGTGGCGGTGTGACAGATAACTATTTATTTTACTTTGTTGTTCAGCTATTTACTTTAGCCAAAACTTTATATATATTTTTTACGAGTATTTTCAAAAGTTTGAACAATGTTGGCCATCAGGAAACATGCCGCACAAACGCGTTAAAATAGGATTTTCTTACAGGTTGTGAGACCGTATGGCGTTAGTGTTTGCACAGCAGAAAACATTGGAAGGATTATTGATCCTTGAAGTGGACGAATCTCGGTGGCAGTTTGTGTCGCAAAATTTGTAAAAGCCATTTCTTTCTTGGGAAAATAATTTGGAGCAATTTGCGTACATTTTATAGAACACATTTAAAATTAACACGAACGATATTAATAATACAATAATATATTATATTATTACATTTTCTCAGTGAAATTCTCCTCATTCTTCCACAATTTAAGATCGATCATTGACTCTAAGCATAAGATATACAATTTCATAACTTAATAGAAGTTGAAAATAGAAGGAAATTTATTACTATGCTATTAATAAAGTTAAGACTCATCAGGCATATTAACAAACATCGGAGATACTACCGATGAGTTATGATCATTTAAACGTACATTTTTCCACATCGCCGATGAATAAATTCAATTGGACTTAAGATCAAGATTTAGATCGCGCACTATTATCCAGTCGCTTAACGCAAATCGCTCGTTAGTATTCCTTACGTTGAGGAACCTCACTCTCGAAAAATACGGATCTATCTTTACGTTTTGCAGGTACTTGACCTTCTAAAACGTTTTGCAGGCAGATCCTTGTTCTGAGCCTTCAGTTTCTAAAACGAAGATCTTCGATCATGTGTCGACTTGCGTGCTTGACATGCCGGAATCGCGTGTCTTCAATTGTCTTTGGCAATCGATATCAAATGCTGAGCGCGTATACCTTTTATTATCCCGCGACGACGAACGGTGTTAATGATTATTACTTGAGTGTGACGTAAGCGACGTCGAGCGGTTTGCGTCACGGCGAATCGTTAGTCAAGTTTTGGGGTATTTACTTCGAGGCGACTTCAGTGTACCGCTAGTGAATCGCGAAAGAATCGATTCGCGCGCTGTTATACATGCGACACTGTTGCATACGCGATGTAATAATTTTTAAGAGCGTAAAATAAATAGAAGTACTGACATCTCGCTCGACCAAGTTTCACGACGACGTATTTGACGAGACTGAAGCTGCGAGGAAGCTGAGGTGTAACTGCTATGAACGACGAACGAGAACTAAATCTTTTAAGTCTGAAATCTTAACCCGGACTTAAAAATGGAGGGAGTTTTTACAATAGTAATTGTAGTTGTGATGAATGAAATAATACAATTAGTATGTTTGTTTAGGACCTTTCTTAAAGAAAATGTCAAAGTTGGACAAGGGTTTCGGCACAAAAGGAAGACTGCAGGTAGGTATGTATGGGTATGCGATAAATTAGAAATTTTGTTTGTCGGAAACAATATAAACGATAAAAGGTGAATGAAGAATGGAGTTTCTTTTGGTTCCCAGAAAAAAAGAAGGGAAATTTTTCTCCGTTTGACGTACACATGTATTTCCTTGTATAATAAATTCTTGTTACTCTTTAGATGTTTCCTGTCGAATCTTGAAGTTAAAACTAGCGACTTCTAAGAAGTTAAAATAAGAAAACGAAATTTTAACGATTGAAACTTTTGTTGTAAGTACTCATATTAATATTAAAGTTAGAATTAATAACAAAAAAGTTTTAGAAATTCGGAAATCTTGAAAGAAATTGGACAATAAAGTTGTTTTTGTCAGCGGAATGCGATTAGAATTATATAAATACATTTTTACTACAATTTGTGAATTATAATTCATTTACTGTGCCAAGATTATGCGATTCAACGTTTTTATTTTAAAAAACTAACGACGTTTCGGTCCGGGATTTGAACCTTTCTCAAATATTCTTTTCGCGCAATTTCCATTAATCACATATGTATACAGGGTGTCCTAAAACCACCGGAGGTCCTCTTAATGACAGATTCCTTAGAACATTTCCAGACGAAAATCCTAATACAAAAGTGTCGAGGCTATAATAGTTTTTAAATTAGAAGCGATTATTTTCCACAAATGATAGGGCTGAAATTTCGCGCGCTCAGGAACGGCGAAATGACAAGTGATATAAGTGCTCCTATGAATATCGTTCTTTTTATATCACTTGTCATTTCGCCGTT